CAAAGTTTTATGAACATTAGAGACATTGTAACTAAGTTTAAACTCGCAAGTTTGCTATCAGAAAGTGATCCTGCTGTTCTTGTACTATTATTTATTCTGTGTTTTCAGCCAGATCTGTTCATTAACCATCGAAATCACAGGCTAAACAAGTCAATCGATAAGTAAACACTACCATGGAGAAGACTGAGTTAAGTGTCGTTTCAAAAACGCCACATATCATCATGGTGGAGACGTCACCTTTTCACTAGGACTCTTGCCCTGGAAAAACGATGATTTATAAGTGGCATAGCCTTCTCAAGCAAGGCATGACTCAATTGAAGACGATTAGCGCTCAGGTGGACCGATTGAGGCAACTTCCTCAGACATAGTCGATAAAGTTGAAAAATTTGTTCTTGAAGATGTTCGTCTATAACAATCTTGGCATGTCTAAGGTCAGTGCAGGATGGGTGACAAGAATCACACCGCTTCAGAAACCTGACCTGTGTAGAGAGAACAGGGACAAAATTATGAACCAAATTGTGACTGGGGATGAAACTTGGGTTTAATTAATTAATATAAATGTGAATCATAGCAGAAATCCATGTAGGGGCATAAAAAGGCGCAGCACCGACTGAGAAGTTCAAGGTGTCACAATCGGCTGGAAATATTATGGCTACAGTTATTTGGAATTGAGAGATCTATTGATCGACTATAAATATAAGGCATCAATATCACGGAGCAGTATTACGCTACGCTACTAGAAAAATTAAAGGATGCAATAAAGAAAAAAGAAGGGGAAAGTGGTTTCGAGGTGTGTTCCTTTTGCAGGACACGGGTGCGTTCACAAGAGTAATGTTGTGATGGATTCCTTGCACAAGTGCGGCTTCGAAACTTTAAACCACACTCCCTATATCCAGACTTGGCCCATTCGGTTTATTATTAATTTCCAAATATGATAAAAGAGCTTTGAGGAAAGAAATTAACAGATGACGACGAAAATATTTGAGGGCCTTTGACACTATATTTCTTTTCCGATGGTATTTCAACGAATAAGTTATTTGAACAGTCTGAGAAGTGAATTAGGGTTAATAGAGGAGATATATCGAAAAGGAAAAATTTTCACGTTTACGTTATCCCCTTCATTCTGCGAACTTTTTCACCTCTTCTCGTATATTACCTTGAGTATAAATATTTTATTATGTTCATAGTAAATATCTTTCTATAATTTTATAAGTATTTATGCAATATAACAAAACATTACATACTTGAAAACACAACGGGAATAATTAAATAAATAAAATAAAATTATTTTTCACCAAATCCAATTTACAGTATTAGTCTAAGATCCGGTTTAAAAAAAATACCCCCTCATTCTTTTCCTTGATGAAATATACATTTTTTTAATAATAAAATACATAAATAAATACAAATCGAGGTGATTGACAGCCTATGTTTTGGCAAGGCTATTTTTAATTAATTTTTTTTTTACCGGTTACGGTCATTCTTTTCCTCGATAAAATTGGTTTCAATCGAAATAAAAAAATATAGAAAATGCCACAGCATGGTTGACTACCTTTTTCCATGCAACAATACCTGTCTACCAGGTGTAAACAGGTAAACTGATATAATTTACCCTCATTCTTTTTCCTAAAAAATTAATGTGTAAATATAGATATTTTTATTGCGAACCCAATGGTATATGGTTGACTTTTCAAATCGAGGCAAGACTAGTGATTGACACGATTTAACGATTCAACAATTTTATTTTAAAGTAGGGCGTGACAGATAACACTATATATACTACACATGTAACAAAAACCCTGTGGTTCCCGTTAAGTACGTTATCAGGATCAGGATACAAACCTATAGAAATAACTTTTTTTTTAAACTCGACCATATTTTTTTTAATTTTATTTTTAAAAAATTTATATTTTTATTTGGTTTTATTACCTCTTACTGACACTAGCCGATGCTAAAGCTAATTAAAGCGGGGTCTTTGACAATCCTCTTACTCCCCAGACAATGCAGAGGTAATAAAACCACATACAATTTGCATACAATTTTTTTTAATAAAATAAAAAAATATTGTTCTATTGTTGTGATGTACCACACATAACGTGGTACAACACAACAATATATATATCACACACATCACAACAATAGAACAATATTTTATATATATATATATATATATATTACGTTATGTGTGGTAGGGAAGGATGCACGATAGCTGCTGGGCGTGAAACGCTTCCGGAAAAGAGAAAGGCGCGCGTTCAGTTATCTGTGTAATAGAGAAAGGTAAATATATTCTCCCACCTAAAAATATTCTAGAGTAATGGTGGTTAATATAGCGCCATATTATAGCGCGCTATCTTTCCATAGCGCACAGCGCGTGCTATATAAGTAGCCGCCATGGCGCTATGGCGCTTTGGCGCTATGAATATCTAGCGGCAGTTAGCTCTAGAAGCAACTCTGGCATCTATCGGTGGGTTGTAACGGCTTTTTTGAGTAACGAAACGAAACTATCTATCGAATATCAATAGCGGCTTTTGAAACACTCTATTTAATAGCGGCTTCAGTAGTGTTTCACGACTTGTTTAATTGAAAAACGTGGCGAAAGAAACGATGGTGTTTCGTGAAACGAAAGCTTGATTAGTTTGTTTGGTGTTCCTGTTTCGTTAAGATTACTGTTATCGAAATTTTAATGTTAGAAGATTTATATTGCAATGAAATTTCCTTCATGCTTTATCCAGGTTTAGGGCTGGCTAATGACGAGTTAATTAAGTAACAATTAATACTTAAGTTACATTTTCAATAAAATAATAGTACTTATATACAATTATATTCTTGTCTTATCTTACAACAAATATTGTTATTGAAATCTACTATATTAGCAATCGCGCCTAAAAACAAACCGTTTTTGATGATTGTTTTTATGTGAATGGTAGTCAAAAATGCTGTGATATTTTCTATATATTTTTTTTTTCGATTGAGACCAATTACATCGAGGAAAAGATTGACCGTAACCGGTAAAAAAATTAAATATATTTAATTAAAAATAGCATTGCCAAAACATAGGCTGTCAATCACTCAGATTTGTATTTATGTATATATTTTATTATAAAAAAAAAAACTGGCCAAGTGCGAGTCGGACTCGCGCACCGAGGGTTCTGGACAATTCCGTAGGTATATAAGTTTAAAATTATTAAAAATATTTTTATTATATGATGTAACTAAAACTTTATGTTTTTCGCAATTTTTCCTTTATCTATGCTATAATACGTTGCTTCATACCCAATTTCAAGAGTTCACGGGAAGTACCCTGTAGGTTTTGATTCCCTTGCGAATGTCGAAAATTTGCGGTATAAACGGCTGTATCTTTTGATTGCGTTGGCTTAGAAATTAGATTTTTCACAGCTTCAAGGGACAGTAAACTTGAGTATTTGATATGAATTTCAGCTTGATACCTCCACGCGTTCCTTAGAAAAAGGGTCTTGACAGTCAGACAGACAGACCGACTTACAAAGTGATCCTATAAGGGTTCCGTTTTTTTCTTTTGAGGTGCGCAACCCTAAAAATATATATTTCATCAAGGAAAACAATGAAGGGGTATGTTTAAGCCAGATCATCCACTATATGTTTTTATGCAAAAACAAGCTCAAGGTAATGTGGGAGACTGGTGCCTTAACTAGACGAAAAAACTTTTTTTCGGACCATCAGGACTCCCACCCAGATGTCCTCTAGGCCTCTCCCGTATTTGAGAGAATTTGTTACAATCACCATGCTTGGCAAGTAGATTTGCAATCGCAGTATGGGCGAGTCTTGGTATTTTACGTCTGGCATAAACTGGACGGTCATAGCGCATCCATCGGAAGCCATTTTGGCATTTCTTATGGTCGACTCTTACGACCGCACAGACGGTAACAGGCTGATACAGGTCGATAGATGGCACGGCACTATTAACTACATATTACTTAAATATAAGTAGATATTTTAACGAAACAAAATATTTTTATAACGTCTTAAAAATTACGCGATTAGCTAACTTTTTACTACTAACCTGTGTTTGCTGAACAAAATCCAAGCGGCTTGAAATTGACTGACCAAAATAATTTGAATAGTGTTATTAAAAATTTCAGTGTAATGTTAAATACATTTTATATTTATATTAACTTAATTTGTTTATATATTATAGTTATAGTCAATAAATAACTTGTTACTACGAAAATGGGAGTGACCCGAATGGTTCATACCACAAACTTCCCAGTAGGGAATGATAAAAAATACAATACCTGGAGTATGAAAGAAGAAAATTGTAATACCATTTTTACATAGATACTAGAAAAACAGCTCTCACTACATTCAGAACCATCTTGAGTAAAAAGTAAAATTATTAATTGTAAAATTAAATTAATTATAGTCAGCCATTTTTTTAATTCTTTGTGGCATACCTTGGGAGAGGTCTATGTTCAGCAGTGGACTTGTGAAAGGCTGTAATGATGATGTCGATGATGATGATAGTCAGCCATTTATCTAGTTAACTTATTCATAACAAGAAACTGTTGGGCCGATTTTGATAAAAACTCAATCAGATCCTAATTACATAATTGTGTGAGAATGAAACCGTCAATAACATTTACACACGACACACGTATACACACACGTGCGCGCGCACATACACACATACATGACATAGGCATCCTTAGATGACATATCGTTATCATCACACCTTAACCAAGAAAAACCTAAATAAGATTGTGTTCAACCGAGAGATTCGGGCGTATTTATAAGCTATAGCTTTAGAAGCTTTTTGCTAAATAGATAGTATCAAAATCACCGTATCAAAATTTGGTGCCGCGGAATGCTACAAAAGTACGACGAAAGTTGTTTGAGTAATGCATTTGAAATCGTCACAGGTGATGAAAGCTGTGTACCCTAGTTTTTTTTAGATAAAGTACGTAATAAGCACTTTTGTCATTTCCTTTTTAGCTAAATTTAAAAAAAATCTACACGATACTTACGGAAAAGCAGCCATAGTGGCAAGTTTGACGAAGATATCGTGTTTGTTTTCTCTGATATTAAACAGTTGCGGAGGTAGAAGTTGATACTTGTTGCAGAACACATCAGGTTGTAATATGTACTCTTGGCGTGCTACCATTGCTTCGCCCTTCGTGCCCACTATTAACACGGGTATGTGACTTTCCGCGAAATATTTCTGGAAAAAAAAATGGTGAACATATTATTTTTTTTTAGATACTAATCACAATCTTGACAAATTCTAGTACGTCTTAGATACAGTGAAACCTGGTTAAGTGGGACCTGGATAAGTGAGAAACCTCTATTATTGAGAGTTGCAACAAGGTCCCGGTTCTTTTTCATTAAATTACCTGTGTTAATGGGACTTTTTGAACCTGGTTAAATAAGATTTGAATTCTAAGAATTTTTCGATGTTTACCTCTATAATTGAGACTCTGTAGCTGAATTACATGTATAAGTGAGACAAATTAATCTGGTTTTAAAAAACGTTTTAACATGTTTGTTTACATACAACTCGCGTCGTCTTTTGCGCATGCTTTGTTTGTCAGTACGGGGGCCTCTGTAAATGAGACAAATATAATTTAAACCTGCTTAATTGGAAAACTGGATTATTGAAAACCATCAAAAATTGGTAAATATGTCTTGGTCCCTTGAGATCCCAATTAACCAGGTTTCAGTTTCACTGTAATAACAATTGAAAACTAAGACGGAAAACAACAAGTAATAGAGAGAAATGTCAATATCGTCAGCCTGATAAAATCACTACTGGGTATAAGGAACAAAAGCCTGCTTTTCAATACTGTTACAGCTAACTCTAGGAAACTATTCCATCATATTACGTCACAGGCCAAAATTACCGGTGCTTGTGGAACTTTAATTTTTTTAAAGAACATTACTAATACTATTCACATTACTAATACTTCCAGTCAGCACTCCAAGTAATCTTAAAATGCTTGTGCAAGGATTGGTTCACGACAGCAGTCGAATGGCGGCGTTCGCACCCTTAACTATTAAGCTGAAAGAGTATTACCATCGAGGGTATTTAATACTAGCTGTGCCCTCGAGCGTGAGTGCGATACACTGTGATTTCGAGCAATAGGAGTAGTGAAAAAGAGTACACGGCGTGAATTAAAAACTACATAAACATTAATATTATCAAACATTCAATTCATTGTCGCTAACGAAAGTCTAAAACAACACAGTACAAGCTGCCTGCTCTGCCTATGAGGCCATTTATATTATGTACTAGCTGCCTCCGCGACTTCGCCCGCGTGGAATTTACTACGGTTTCATGGGTTTTAACTTTTTTGCGCGGTACACTATATTTTTTCTAAAATTAAAAAGTATCCTAATTTACTTCTTATAATATCAGCTATCTCATATATATATATATCAACAAAAAATGCAAACAGTAACTGTTCGCGCCAAACGCTAATTTCAAGAATTGACGCCAGAGGGCGCTCGGCGCAGTGCATTCGTACCGGTTTGACGTTCGCGCGAGCGCAGTTGGTTGCTAGAATACGTGCTGTCGAGAGCACGTCGTGGAGTCGCCCGGGAAACCTCCATTTTGAGAGTCGGTTTTGTTAGCAAATTGTTGCCACGACGAGGGTATTTGTTAAGTCTAGAATTAGAAGCCAGGCTAACAAATTGTTAGGAAGTTAACATTGATTGCGATCAACGTCGGAATTGTGCTAGAAATAATTGTTGCCACGCGAAACGGAAGTGACCTTTGATCCGAACATTCGGTATTCGTGTTGTGTGTTACGCTTTATAATAAACGAGTGTTAGTGGCGTCTGGAAATTAGTTAATTGCACGGTATAGTTAATAGACTGACAGAATGAGGAAGAAAGAAAGTGACTGTGGGTGACGCCGCTGGAGATTACCACAATTTGGAGCGATGCTGCAGTCCGGGCTGCTGCCGACTTCAACAGTCCAGTCAGGTCTATCACAACCAACACCACAAAATCACCACTATACTCAACACATACACACCTCCGGCCTGACCGAGCCCTGAGACAGCAGTCGCCTCATATACAGGTAAGTAATCTCTATTTGACTAGCCTCCCCATTAAATTGTAGTAGGATAAAACATTTTCCATATAGATTAGTGTAATAGGAAATTCTTCCATAAAGCCATTTGGGCTCCGTCCTAGTTGTTCGTCGAACCTAACAGCTGTATGGGCCCCTATCTGGTAGACCTTAGTCTGGGCAACTAGGTGCGTGAACAGTAAGTTATCATAATGCAGCTAAAGGTAAATAACATTAAAAACCTATAAAGTAGGTAGGAACATACAATTTTAAAAAGGTTGTGTAAGATTCATTGGCAACTCGTTAACTGACAATATTTCTTAAATATGTTGAGTTGGAAAGTACATATCTTTTCGTAAACTTGATGTTTTTGGCCTTTTTTCGAAACAAAATACACTGCAACTCGGCATTTTTATCGTATGTCGTTCCGCAGGCGTTGTATTTGGTTGGCAGGCGCGGGACGTTCGACAAGTAGTTGTATATGACAAAAATTACCGCCGGCCTCGTACTATCTTTTGCACCGGGGTAGGTCCTGCTTTGGCCCCTCCGGTTAGGTATATGCTCAAAGGTCCAAACACACAGTAAACAAATAAAAATTATTAACTATTTTATGATACAGTATAGATTGAATCTTTGAGAATATTTAACAATTTATTTCTGAGCACAAATGGCCATACCTAATACTTATCTAAAACATTCATAAGGTTAACTCTCAGTATAATATTTTAATGATTATAATTATAAGTTCTCAAAATCACATGAATAATTCAAAAATCATAACAATCACATATACATAGTGTTGTGCTGACATTCCGGACCACATCTCAAGTTTTGTTTTGTCGTAACCCAATTACAATGATTTTAGAAGTGTCCATTTTCCAGACCAGTACCTATAGTTCTTTGCCTTACTTACTACTACTTATGTATCATTTATTTTCACGTGCGACTTTGCAAAACGTTTGAAGTAATTTCTTGTATTAGGACTTAAATGTTAAGGGTTAAAGTATGAAGTTGTCCTTTTAGTGAAATGTCCACTCTGGATAAAAATTAAACCTGCATGGTCCATGATTCCTGTTTTATTTTTTTACCGAAAAACTAACATTATTAATTGAAAAAAATATTATGAATTTTCTATTGTTTGACTTGAAATTGTTCTTACATTCAGTATTTGAGTTAAACATGGAGCCCCAAAAATAAGAGTAATTTTCGAATATGAGTTCCGACGTGATCCTCCGCAGAGACAGTGCGCAATATCAATGCTGCGTTTGGAGAGGATACGAATATCGAAAGCACAGTGCGTTTTTTGTACATACATAACAGGGGTTCTATTATTATTATGTATATGTGCAAAACTGTTCATCGAAGATTTTAAAAATATTAAACATCATTGAATATACCGAGTCGATCGCAAAGAAATAAAAAACTACAAGTTACTCCAAGTAGTGAGTGCTCAACGTTTTTATATTAACTCTATTTAAATTGAGATAGTACCTTTTACATTATGCATACCCAAGCAAATAGACAAAAATTATAAATACATGGAAATGATACACACTTAAGCACAGAATGCTCATAATGCATTCTATCATTTATTTTTACTACCAATCCAGTATCTTCCTGATACATCTTAATGACAAACTAAGTTTGTTAACTCAGCTACCAAAAAGCAGCATCGGCTTATCTTATCGTCAAATATATCCCCCCCCCCCCCTTCCCACTTTAAAATTGATAAACTTTCGGATATACTTACGATATATATCCTAGCAATGTATTCAAAAGATCTGCTAGCGGCGACATCGTACACAAGACAGGCAACGTCGCAGTTCACTTCGTGTGGCTGCAGCGGGTCTGATACGCGCGTTATCGGGATTTCTTTTAGAACTAAATATTTCTCCTGTCCGTACACTACTACTGAGTTTATGCAACAATTTTCTGTGCTGTAGCCATCGCCACGCTCGTTAGCGTGAGGCTTGATTTTCTGAAATAAGTTAAGTGTTAAATATAAAGTAATGTTTGGTTTAATGCATTTTTAGTTGACGCAAGCAAATGATTCAAATATTTTTTATCCTGTTCTTAACCTTGTAACAAAAATCGTTCAGACTTTTTAGAAACGAAGCCGCAAGTAACAGTTAGTAAATTATATATAAAAAAGACATAATTGGCTAAAATTACTGTAACAGCTGCGGTAGGTCTCACCTTATGCGCTATTCCGAGAAAACTTCTGCAAATAGAAGTCTTCCCGCAGGACCTCGGACCAATCACGTGACACTGGTACACATTACGACTCGACTGCTTCTTAGCTATGTCCACTTTCTTCTCACGAGTTACTGCAACACATTACTACTATACTCAACATCATTTTTAGACCAGACCACCATTGAAGAGTGTTACACAACCTTACAACCTATTGAAGGAAAAAGGAATTAGATTTACTTTCTCGTGAATGTATTGTTCTGCTTTAAAAGGCTATTATCACTCACAGAACAGAGTGTTATCTCCACACTTGAAATAGATATCGGAGACTTCTTTACTTCCACTCAACACTATTTTACAAAATAATGCAATACTTCTAAAACAGGTCGATGCTTCACCTATAATTTTTAAGTTACTCAAAACATTGCTCATCTGGCGCTTGACCGCATTTAGTTTAAAAGAACGTAACTCATGACAGGCCAATAAGAAAATCACAAGTTCATACAAAATGTAAAAAGTATTTAAAAGGAAGGTTAGAGAGGTAATAAGAATATCATTATAAAATATTGGGTAAATTATATTTCGTATATGCATCAACATCATCATCAGCCTTTTCTTAAGACTACAGTTGGACAGTTAACTCTCAGTATTTTATTTTATGCATGAACCTAATTGACTTTTATTCACCTCCAAGTGACGTTAAGTGAGTTTTAGTTTTTTTGAATTACCTGTGCTAGTGATTTCAATACGATATTACCTTGCTACCTTGCTGGTCAAGTTGTTAAAAGTAAACGTCTAGGTTTTCTTTATAAAGTTGGAAATATATTTTTTTTATTTCACACTTTGTTTGATTTCTAATTTGATTGCCGTGTTTGCGTGATTCACAAGAACTCTTGAGTTGATCATTGCTACGTTACGTGGATCTGTCTCCATAAACTTTGGATTTATTTTAATCATCAAATAAGGTACGTGAGAGTAATATGGTACCGACATTTGAAATTATAATTTAAAATTAAAAGTTTTGTGCAACCGACTTCAATATAAATTATTAAGAATAACTCAAAAAAACTATTGTTCAGACCTTGATCATATATGGGATTATATGGGACCACATGTCAAGCACCAGCTTTCAAATAAAAAAAGAATCATCGAAATCGGTTCACCCAGTAAAAAGTTGTGAGGTAACACACACAAAAAAAAACAATCATACAGTCGAATTGAGTACCAGCTCCTTTTTGAAGTCGGTAGAAAACTAGCAGTACATAGTCAAAAACACAGTCGTATATTATAACTAAATATATTTAAAAAAATAATAAATAAGCTTTGGTAATATTTAGGAACACTTCAAAAAATCAACTTAACTAACTAATAATTATTACACAATTCCGAAACGTCGGGAATAAATAAGTTAATTAAACGCGATTGAACCCATAAAAATAGTTTTATTCATGTATATACTATATATATTCCTTTTGTCCGTGTGTATGTGTCTGAACTCCTAAACGGCTGGACCGATTTTGATGAATATTGTGTGTGTGTGATTACGTTGATTAGAGAACGGTTTAGATTTACAATTGGACCTGGTTGGTGGCGTTGTTGTCGAGATCCAGAAATCAACCTTGCGAAGTCGAGGCGGATCGCCAGTTTGGTAAATGTAAACAATATCAATCTATCTTTCTAAAATGACAATTTGAATAAAATGAGAATATTAAAAAATATTTAAAGTTGCCATGCATTAAGACAGTAAGCATTTTGATAGATCAGCTCTCTAAGCTGCAGGGACTGATTTAGGGCTTGTCCTGTGTATCGACGGTAAGCACCGTATCGTAATTGGTAACAGGGTCCAATTTTTATTATTTTATTTCCAGGGCAATATTTTTTGTTTTCTTGTAGGCTTTCGTCGTATTCTGGTTTTGAGAGAGTTCACTTTTCGTCTAATCCTAACGGCGCGGAGATAGCCCCTATCTTTATGGTCTCCGACAGAGGAATTGTTAGTGTTCCTATTGATAGTGTGATACATAAACAAATAGCCGATACTCCATATAAATACCCACTATGTGCTAAACAATCACAGCAAATTTATTTACAATCACAATGAAAAATAATATGTGAAATGGCGGCAAATGTAAGTTTCTTAGATAATAAACGCATTCATAATTTCAATTTAGAACAATAGAACTTTATACATTGTAATATTATTTACAATAAGAAGAAATACATATGTATAAATAAAGATTTTAAAAGTTATTGGGCTTGTAAAGCATGTCGAATATTGCCCAAAAATGTTTACTTAATACTTACTATGTATAGCAGTTTTTTGTGACTCGTTTTCAAGAAAATTAAAGCCGAGATATGCTAAATAGGCACTTGTGTTTTGCAAGTCTAACAAAGTCATTAATGTCCATCGGCACATCCACCCTTGTAATGTTAAGTAGCCCTAAAAGAAATTTTTTATTAATGCTCAGTTGTGTCCAGCCGAAGGTCGATTTCTGGCCAAACCCGAAGGAAAGGCTTAAAACCCCTAAGAAATTCAGTTTAAGATTGATTAAAATCAATAAAATAAATATATTCAAACCTTTTAAATTAATGATTTATATTGTCTATAATATGTAAAGGTAATTTTAACCATCACTAAGAGTTGATCTAAATATAGATGATAAAAATGTTCATCGCGGTCTCGCTCATTCGTAACAGTTCATTCAATTTCAATGATTGTTGGCGCAAAATGTTTCGGTCGAACACTAGTGCTCAGACACACTAGCGGAAAACAACGCGTGACTTCAGTCGAAGTGACTCGCAACGACTAAAATTGGCGTAGTCTTACAAAGCATAATATTGTATAATTAAAGTGTGCAGAGTCGGTCTCTATCAATTATACATTCTCCAAAAATTAACCTACTAGAAAAAAATGCTGTAGCTATATATTATGTTTTCTTATCTCTATTACTAATGAATGTAAAATGTTTTTATCGCGAAATATGCAGTTCCACAAATAATATTTAAACTTATATACTCAAAGCATACATTCACTTCACAGCTGGGACATTTCATGTGAAGAACTACGAAAAAATTTGAAATTCTGAAATTCGTTCATACTCGGTTCTGCCTGATTGCACTTCTAGGTGTGTATGTAAACACTTTTTTGTACGAGTTGTTAAATAATCGTAAGGACGGATTATTCGAAAGCTATTTTTCAACCTAAATAATTTTTTTTTTACAAATAAATACTAAATACAGTGGTTCATATAGAAAATTGACTGTTTTCTATTACACTCATTTGCAAAAAAAAAAAACGGTCGGTTTCGATTTTTTTCCTGCCTGAATAAAATACAATACGAAAAGGTTTTAAACATTTAAAGTGATCTGGTCAATTTAAAAAGTACATTTCAAATTCAAATTTTTGCCTGAGGCTAGTTTGTATATTATGATGAAATTTAAAGTTATATCCCAATGTCCGATGGTAAAACTTAGCGGCTGGAATTAATTTGAACAATTTCTTGCAGATTTTCCGTGGTAGATGCGGTGGAAAATTCAACATAAGAGACGCAAGCCCAATCAAGCCTTTCAGAATAAACTTGATCTACAAAGAAATTTCCTTCTCAGCCTTGGTGACAGTACAACATACAAGCTTCAGGAGAATGGTGAACTAGTTTCTAAACTATTTAGCCTTAGCAGACCACAGAGGCAGAGTTGGTGAGAAACTGGAAACTAATAATTCTAGGACTTAGAGGCACAGTTATACTAATTTTAGAGTTCGATTTGTAGATTTTAGGCTGTTAAATTATTATTAAAGACGGTAAAAGTTACTTTGCCTATGTCCACTTAATGTAAATGTAGTATAATGGAATTCCGCAAGGTAACGCCTGATTCTATTAATAATTTTAAGTTGTTATTTTTACATTGTATAAACGCTTTAAAATCCAAAGTTATGAATGCCGCAACCAAGTACAGACTTAAGCATGTATAAATAGTACCATTAAAAACGCGCAAGAAAGCAGCAGCTTGATATTTGTGTATTGTATTGTATGATGATGATGAGAACAATGTACAGGATATTATATGCATGCATTACTTATGAATTGACGTAAATGTATGATTATGATAATAAAGATTGTCTGATTATTGTCACAATAATTAACATTAAAAGTATTGATATTATGCCGATACTAGCCTTTTCATTAGTCGGAACAGTATACCGTAAGTTATGCCATGGGACTCGTGGACAACAAGAAAAAACATTTTTCAATTCTGCAGGATTCAGCATGCCATCTTTATCTCTGTCATATTTTTCAAACGTTTGCGTCAAAAACTGTTGACCCTTATATGAAAGCTCTGTTGTACATCCCACTGGCACCTTTATGCTACATAAAAATAAAATAAAAACATGTATATTACTAAGTTTTCAAAAATTGTTAGTATTAAAGAAATAAGCTATAAGAATATCATACTTAGCATATAAATAGTTATGCGTTAACTCCAAGCTCTCATCATAACCAAATTTGCGTAAGACAGTCCATGTTGTTTCATTCCTTCCTCGCTGTATAAATAGACAATGTAAGTAAACGAATCCTTTCATTGTTATACATTCATTTTCTATTCCACCAGCAATATTTTGTGCAATAACAGATTTTACTTCATCCAAAACCTGAAATAAAATATTAAAGCAATTTGATATTGTTTACATTTAAAATAAAACAAATTTATGTGAGGGTCGCTAGTCTTGTCAGCGTGGCTTGCTGGGCCGCTAGAGGCTACTCTAGGAAACCCAACGAGTTTATTTACCTACTCTACAAATAATATGACGAAAAATGTAATTTATAAGCAAGTTAAAAATAGGCAGTGTTTTTATTAAATTTTATACATCTATGTACTTATATTTAGAATATTATGCCACGGTTTAGCACTATATAGTATATCTATATTTAACAGAATTTTTTTTACTTCACATTCGATGTTTGTTATAAATTATAAAAGATATGTCACAGATATAAAAAAATATTCATCTAACCTGCAATTGTAGAGGAGTGTCAAAACATTTCTTTTGGAATATTGTTATTTCATAATCATCCAGTAGACCATCACCATCTAAATCACATATTTTAAATATTCTAGAGAGTGCTTTCTTGCAACTTTCAGTTAACTGAAAATACAGCATTATTAGTTTCACTACCTAAGGCATGTATATAAATATGTTATTTATTAATTATAAATTTAATTACCTCTTGCTCCTCAATAGAATAAATGGGTCCAATAGGATGTAATACTGCCTTTTGTGCATTATAAAACATCTCCGAAACATTAGTTAGGGTTTTTGCTGAACATTCTATACATCTGTCTACTTCTGGATATTCTTCAGCAATATCCCAAATATTCTGGAAAAGGTTATATTAAAATTAGTTACTTATATATTTGTAGGTAAAATAATTGTATTAGCTTTAAACTTCAAACAGTAAAATATGACACGTATTGGTATGATATAATATGAAAAAAAGCTGATATTTAACTGAACTTGGAATAATAAAAAGAAATCTTTCTTTATCTCAAATCAATATTTAACAATATATAACAAAAACATATAAATACATACAAGTGAGTAATATTATTGGTATACAGATGATACAGATGGATTAAAGTTTGACATGCTTCTATTAAATATTTGTGATTTATTAAATAATGTCGTCTTCATACGTAAGCTCTGGAGCGCTCTCACACACAAACAAACAAACACACACACACACACACACAAACGCGCGCGCGCACACGCGCACACGCACGCACGCACGCACGCACGCACGCACGCACGCACGCACGCACGCACCCACGCGCTCACGCACGCACGCACGCACGCGCTCACGCACGCACTCACGCACGCATATCTCACACACACATCTCACACAATCAATAGCACGATAGAACGTGATAAAAATGAAACCACATAAATATCAATGTTAATATTATAATTATACTTTTCGCATTCTTAACATCATCTTGCCATGATACACATTTGTTACTTAATTTGCTTATTATACGGACGAGATTCTGATCCACTGGCCAAACCTAGAGGTTGCAAAACAACTGCCCATCATAGTAATACTTTTAGTACAAGCAAAAGAGGTGAAGCTGTGTGGCATTATAATGGGCGAAGTTGTTGTTGGTTTGCATACTTTTGTGGTGTAGGTACTATGACAAAGCAATATAACTGGAATATTAAATGATATCATCACACAACGTGGACTCCATATAAGGAGTAGAAATAACATCTATTTAGTTCAGTAATATCATATTATATTTATAGAAGAAGATACCATTCATGTGGCTCTACCTGGAACTACGTAACACAAACCCTGCCCCCTACCTATATACCTACGTCACAATCACTATATATAATTCTCCTCCAAACCAATAAAAAGAGAGAGAGTTATTAAACTGCATCATTGAGTATAATTTATTGCATTGTCCAAACATTACACTTTATTTATATTGGGATATATTGAATTAACTTCTTATGCATTCCATGAATATTTTTAACGTAACGTCGTTACTAAGAAATGTTAATTTATCTAAATTGTTTTTAGAGTATTTTCCAATAGTTATTATCAGGAAGATTTATTTATTTATTTACACACACAACATACACAATCATTACAGGGTGAGTACCCTAATTCGACAGTGTAGCCAATGATACAGTATGATATGCCATTTTAACCAGCTTACTCAATGAACATGAAAATAAATCAGTTCGCTCCAACATGATGTTGATCACATGCAGCGCGCGCGTGAACGGTGCTTGCTGCATGAGTGCGGTGCGACTGCCAGTAACGACGGCCGCCGCCGTCGCCCCGCTTGGGAGGAGTATGTTTTAAGCTTAAAGAGTATGGTAAGCCAGGAGGCCTTATATGTACTAAGCAGTAGAGATGATATATATGGTTCTGCCTATCTCCTGTTACGTTTCCTCTTGTCGCCTCCTACGCAATACCCATGGAATGATATTGAGTAGTGGATTCTCTTACTTTGCGACTACACAGCTACACACTACACGTCCAGGACAAAAAAATAATTGAAATCAACCATTAGACCATTTCTATAATATAAAAATACTGAAAACCATTATAGCTAGCCAGAATTTTCAGTAGATTCTGTGCCATGGTAGAATCTAGATGTCAGGCATGTATTAAGGTGTAACATTCTGTAATAATTTGGGTATCCATCTCCCATTATTGTATGTACAATTATCATGACCATGCATCATTATCATATGTATAATAATCATGACCATGTATCATTTGCATCACCCTAGCACCTACTGCACAAACTAGGATTACTGGACAATTTTTAGCTCAAAATAATGTCGATAACATAAAACCTACACAAATAATTAACCTAATTAATAATAATAAGTTTGTAGCTAAACCTAAATTCTCTGCTGTAATTCCTACATTTCATATTACACAGTTATGAGTAATAAGAGACATGATACTTTCATGGAGGACCTAGTATAAATCTGAACTTCCACCAGAATATGGAGAAATCATAAAAGCTAGAAGGTTGCACAAGGGTGATAAGATAAGGTAGAATGGATTCTGAAACAGACATTAGTCTTTACATTCTCTGGCCAAGTACTCTCCTTCTCATTTTATACTTCAAAACCCTCTCAGATATGAGAAAAGGCCTTGGCTCAGCAGTGAGACATAAAGGCTGTAACTTTACTTTTACTTACTTTAATACCACTTGAAACCTACTTACTTCCAACTATTCAATGTACCTGGCCCTCTGACCTGTTTATTCAGTTCTGGTAATTATCTAGCTACAGGCAAATTTTGCCCAGAACACTAAACTGAAACTATTAAGCTAATTACTAGAGAATATCTCCTATCTTGATGCCTCTTCTAAATTCCTTTGGAAGACTTTATTAAGCAAACATTGCTGCTTAGTAAGACCTTCTGACTTACCATACTCTTTAAGCTTAAAACATACTCCTCCCAAACCTTCGCAGATTATGACAAAACCGCCATCACATTAAAAATTTACTAGATTTTCTTTTTACAAAAATACATTTTTGGCAGCCTCGTACCAGCAGGCGAAGTGTAGGGCGTCCCCCCACTAGAAGGAGTGATGGAAGTCGGTGGATGCATGTGGCTCAAGACCGTGCTTTGTGGCATTCCTTGGGGGAGGCCTATGTTCAGCAGTGCACAAATGGGTCAGCTCGAACGGGGAAGGACCACACTCTCACAGAATACCCGCGTAAAATAGCAGTTTAACACTAATGTGTTTCGTATGGTGAGTGTAGAGAACCGGAGACCCTTTTTACTGGAAAAGAGGCATTCCATCTTAGTCTTCATGGGTGACAATACATCTGCATTTTGATTTGCAAACGAGGATGAATGTAGATGTCTATGGGCCACAGCAACCACTTAACCTCGGGTGGACTGGGTGCTTGTTTGTCACCCTATCCTATAAAAAAAATATTAAGTAATACTTACATCTATTACAGAATAATCAATGAGGTCAATTTTATTTCCAACTAAAATTACAGGCTTTCTATAGTCATCTGGACAATTATCTCTCACAAAGGGAAGCCAGTAAGATGCTACTTTGTTGAGTGTTTCTTGTTTGTCAACTGAGAAAACTATGCATATCACATGAGCTTTTTCTATTTCTTCTGCTATTTGTTCTGATGTTTGTTCAGAGACTGAAAGACAAAAATTAATTAACTGAAAATTTGAGCTTCTCTGATACTATAAATTTGCTTTCGTTTTATAAGAATATTAGTTATGTAGAAAAATATTTTCCAGATTTGTTAAGAACGGAAATGTTTACAAACAGCAAAAATATTTTTTTTAAATCAATAATACAAGTTACTTACGACACACATCAACAATATTGGTAGGAACTTGTTCAGGTGTAACGTCTGCTGGTATTGTAATTTCTTCCGCTTTCGCAGGTACATGTTCAGTGAACTCTTCAGTTACCAAAGATAGAATTAAGGAAGTTTTGCCAACCCCTGATTCACCTAGCAAAATTATTCGAACTGTGCGAGGTACAGATTCATACACCATCTTGGCAAACTTGATACATTTAGCATACCATTTGTCTAATTAACATTTTTGAAATATTATTCATATCGGCAAGCAAGTTTTGGGTTTAATCGCATATTAAATTGTAAGGATTGTTAAATTAAATCTTTTTATTATACATATACATAATCTATGGTTATATGATACAGTGTACCTAGTTCATAGATAAATATATATGTAGCAAGCTAACCTAGTTGTTTGGCAAGATAGCAAGAGATTTTTTGTAGATTACAGATAACCGCAAAATGCACATCCACATATTATATTAATTAGCGGTGTGCGACTCGAGTTATTTGACTCGAATAACTCGAATCAAACCTTAAACGAGTCTACTCGAGTTCAGTTTTAAGCAACTCGAATCAACTCGGTCGTCCGAACGCAAACCGGACGTTATAGTTATACGCGGTGTTCCGAGTTAGGCCCGCCATATACATACGGAATTCCGTTTCGAGATTCCGTTTCGATATTCCGATTTGGAATCCCGAACGCAGCAAGTCCATATAAAATCTATGACCCGCCACACACGTACGGTAGTTTTCCGTTCGATATTTTGCGGGCAAAACGGGATTCCGTTTGTGTGTGGCCGACCGTTCGAAATTCCGAAACGGAATCTCGAAACGGAATTCCGTATGTATGTGGCGGGCCTTACACACGCGAGTTGTTCCGAGTTACACACGCGGCTCGCACGCGCGGTTCGTTAGGCGTTGTAACTCGCATCAACTCGAGTTGAGTGAATTATTATTTATTATGTTACGATACACACGCGCGCGCGCCGTTCGTAAGGTGTTGCAATTGTTGCATCGTACTTGTATCGACTCGAATAGATTAAAGAACTCGGGTTGAGTCGGGCTCGCTCGGCCAGGATCGGAACGGCAACGGAATTGCGCGAATGAAAAACTGCGTTGAATGTTTATTTTGATTGACATTTTTTTTCTTTTATATTTATTTCGTTTATTTTATTTATAACTACTACTATTTATAACTATTTATAACTATAACTTGCTATAATATAAATTAAGCAATTATTTAAAAACTAAACCATTGACATTTTGTTGTTTAATTTTATTAGTTGATTGACCGTTAGCGATCCGCTCGTCAGTCTCGAGCTCGAGCTGACTCGTGGTCCCCGAGTCGGCCGAGTCGCCTCTCTTTCCCTACAGCAGACATCGATTCGAGTCAACTCGAGTTACGATTCGAGTCAGTAGCCATATGAACTCGAGAAACTCGAGTCAAAAAAATCCAACTCGTCACATCAGTATTAATTTTAATTAGTATTAGATTTTTTTACTGGCTTTACGACTCTGGGTTCTAGTCTTTCTGAGCCTTATTTGTATTAGGTCAGCCAAATACATACGGAATTCCGTTTCGTGATTTCGTTTCGGAATCCCGAATTGGGATTCCGTGAATACATCACACACATACTTTTTTCCGTTCGGAATAACAAGGGTCAGTTGAGAACCGTTAGGCATTGAGGCTAGACATTCTGCCAACGAATAATGACAACGATTTTCTAATTGCGATTCCATTTTTGCTGTATCATTATACTAGGTGCATCCCCTTATCACCCTAAGCTTGCAATATAGTCAATATTATGCAAAAAGATCTATCTATCCAGAGATATTTTTTTAAATATTTATGTCTGTAAATTCTTTCGACGAATTATTAAATAAAATAATATGAAAGGTTACGAAAAGCTACACAACCTACAAGATTAAATGTAAAAATATACATAAACACACCTACTCGCTTCGGTCGTGCGACGAACACTGAGCGCATTCCTTACGGAACTTACGTATGTGTGTTGTGATTCGTACAAAATCTATGGAAGACTTGCGTTCGGAGCGGCTTATTTCCGTTCGGGATTCCGAACGTACAAGCGGTCAGACGGAAACTTGAATCGGAGAAATAACGTACGGAAAAACACCGTACGTATGTGGCGGTTCATAGATTTTATATGGACTTGCTGCGTTCGAGATTCCGAATCGGAATATGTATGTCTGTCATACAATACACATAATGTTGTACTCGTATACAGAATAAACTATAGACTGCTTGTTAGCTTCCTTCTCCTCCACTCAATAAAGAGAAGTAAATATACATAACGTATTAGAAGAAAAGGGACAGAGCATGGCTATCTGCATCTCTCACCGCGAGCCGGTTTTTTCAAGGCCAGCACAAAGATTTAGCTAAACGAGTTTGACGTTTATGGCTTCTTGCTAAATAAATTACGATATTTTCGCGAATTCGTGGTATTAATCGGCGTTAATTTGTGTTAATCAAGGAGTTATAAGCAAAACCTCATTGTTCACAATGGTGCAGTGCAGTGTTCTTGATTGTAAAAGTGACGGTGAACAAAATATTCCAGGATTGTCATTTCATTCGTAAGTATGCCTTTTTTTCTTATCTCAGCTCGTAAAATGTATAATTTTAGCCTGCTATGAATTAAAATGTATTTTTTAAACTGGTTTTTCATTAAACATTAGGATTTATATGTCTTTATAGAAGTTCATGTTAAAAATTACATTACATAACCTATTTTCTGTGTTGTTAGTTTCGTATAGCAAATTCCCTTGATTTTCTGCCAGCGTTTGATAGAAAGAAATAATAAAATTGTTTCAACGAACTTTTTATTTTGATACATTACAAACAGATTACAAATAAGGCAGGCAAAAGGTCTATCAGGTAATTAATTATAATATTATACATTATATTTTTTATAAAATATATTGTACAATAAATTTTTTATATAATTTGTCGTGGGTTCTATTCCCGCACGGAACAAATATTTATATGGCCTACAGATAATTGTTCCGGGTCTGGTTGTTGGTGTTGTGAGTTTATATGTTTGTTAACGCACCCACGATACAGGTGAAATTCCTAGTGTGAAGCAACGATTTTGTTTATAAATCGTTATTCGACTATTCGCTATAACGGCTATTTGCGGCATCTCTAATAAATAGTTTTGCTTATACTATCGCATTTTTAGTGTCGTAGGATGACAAAATTAGCTGAAGGACACTTGAGTGGTTAGTTTAACCTATGAATCACAAATCAGTGATTGGTAATCATAGGTTAATGCTATTGGAAGCAGATACCATGCATTACTTTGAGGTACGCATTCGTCACAACACCAAATAGTATTTTGCACCCAGTGATAGAATTCGCAACATTAGTAATAAACTCGTGTTATTTAAAAGTCAATAAAATTTCAGTACATAGTTTCTCGTTTTTTTTTCCTTCAGTCTTTTATCACCCCTCCGCTGGGATATAGGCCTAAAATCGAAGGGGACAATTTTAATAGTATTTATCGTGTTTTTAAGACAAGTTAATTGAATTTCGTTCGTTCTTATACCAATTCACTATCTTTTATTTGGCTAAATCTGACAACCCATGTTTTGCTGCCTGGTCGTCAACGGTCCGCTTGAATTCTTGTCCCACTGATCGAGTAAAACGAGTTGGTATGACAACACTTGCCTATTTGTGACGTCATCATTCCCTATCTCATGTGCCCACGCCAAGCAGCAGGAGTCTATAATATATAGTTTTCTCTGTCTACGGCTGAGAGCATAGATTTAGTATCTTCTATCTACGGCTGGGTGTCATTGTCATTGAGTTTTGGCGGGAACCACAGACTACTTACTGGATACTACGTATGCGGGAACTTGACCGGCGACAGATTGCTGCTCCTGTATTATTGTTTAAATAATGGTTTGAAGTGGATTTTGATATGTAACTGGTATCTCGAAAAGTCCCTATCAGTAAATCCAAAAAAGTTTTGGACCTTAGTAAAAAAGTCAATAGCAACGCGTATCCTTCTGCAATGACATTCGATGATAAGGAATAAACTTGTGGAACTGGTATTTGTAATCTTTTTGCTTCCTATTTTGCCTCGGTTTACCGGCCAAGCTTGCCTCTGCAACTTACCTGATCCGGAATACTCAGTCTCTTGCTTCCTTGGAAGTCTGCTGACCCTTCGGCGGGAGGATGTTCTAAAAACTCTGAAAGGACTAGATAGGACTAAGGGAGCTGGCCCGGATGGAACACCCTCTTTGTTTGTAGTTCAATGCTGTGAATCGCTCTCCTTTCCTCTAACAATAATATTTAATGAGTCTTTAAGGAATGGCCTATTTCCCTCGATCTGGAAGGAAGCGAGAATTGTTCCAGTTTTTAAGTCGGGTGATTCGGCATCCATGAAGAACTATAGGGCCATTTCGATACTCTCAGTCTTTGGGAAGGCATTTGAATCCTTGGTTTGCCCAGTCTTGTCCTATCACATAAAGCATTTAATTTCTCCTCACCAATCTGGTTTTTTGGCATCTCGCTCAACGGTAACCAATTTGATCTCGTTTGTGGATTTCGTTTCTAACTCCCTTGAATCCCGTGTTCCTGTAGACACCATATACACCGACTTTAGTAAGGCTTTCGATTCAGTTGATCACAAAATTTTACTGGGTAAACTTTCTCGTTTGGGCGTATATGGCAGCCTTCTGGAATGGTTTGAATCCTATCTTTATCAACGCAAGTCGCATGTTGTGGTTAATGGCTCATCGCATTCCTTTCTGTCAACTTCCGGCGTCCCACAAAGTTCGCATCTGGGTCTAATCCTCTTTAATATATTTATTAATGATATCGTGGATATCTTTAATCATGCCGCTTGTTTCCTTTACGCTGATGACATGAAACTGTCTATGCAGATCAGAGGTATTAATGATTCATTGTTATTACAGGAGGATCTTGATCGACTCGCTGGATGGTGTAGGGAGAACAGGTTATATTTAAATACTGAAAAATGTAAAATTATTAGATTTTGGAGATGCAAAACGAACTTGTCGTCGTCCTACAATATTGCCGGTCAAAAATCATAAGAGGTGGACTCTATTCGCGGTTTGGGCGTCATTATGGATAAAAACCAAGACCGCACATAGACCAAGTCGCAACAAAAGGTTTCCAGATGCTAGGGTTTGTGCTGCGAAATGCAAAGG